TGAATCGCTTACAATTCAAGTAACGACCCTTTTTTTTAGTTATCACAAGTAGCTAACTGGCATATCTCCATTTTACGATTCCCGCACGGTCTCACCATTTAAACATATTTTAATAGATATATACAAATTTAAAGAAAAATGTAATTCGTCTCGGATTATCTACATTGGAATCAGCTTTATAAATCGCTAGTCACCCGTTTTTGAAATTTCCATCCATACATTTTTTCTTATTAAATATTAGTCATGTTCGAACACCCGTAGATATGTTACGTAAAAAGATTACGTAAAGTTGCTCATGAGGGGAAACAAAATGATTTGTAATAAACAAAAATAATAATAATAATATTGAAAGGCCCTTTGTTCCGTTGAATATTAGTTTCATATTTGTGTTTGTTTGTTTCATATTGTGTTATTCCTTGTGGCATTCATTGTACTTTCTGTGGTTTTTGTTTTGTTCACGCAGTCTGTATGAAGGGAGCCAACAGCTGCTGGTGTAATAAGAAGACCAGGAAGGTTGTCTTCTGTACTGGTATGTAGGAATAATTTTTGTCTTTCGAAGTCAATTATGTTTGTTAATCTTTTCTTTGATAAGACCCTCGCTCCATATGAGTCGAAGGTTTACAACCATCATCATTTTCACCTTCATCATCAGTATAATGATTAGATTATAATAATGAAATCACAATGACGATGATGAAAATAGTTTTTTGTGGCCGCATTCATAATGATGACTTGAACAAACATAGTTGCTTGGTAGCTGGCAACATTGTATATGAATACTATCATGCTTGTACGTGCAAGAAGTACGCTAACCCTCTGGCGATTTACAACATAATATTATAATTATGCAGAATAATTTCACACATTCCATCATCAATGTAACATATAAAATCAGTATATTCCGTATACACAGGAGATGATCAGGGTTTGCCTAATGCCGATCTTGTATTTTCCCTTCGTTTTGTTTCTCAAAAACTACAGGAAAGGACTAAACACTTCTCTTCGGTATATTAACCCTTGACCCCCCAAGATACCAAATTGAACACTCATCCTGCCAACATCCATCGACCAGAGACCAGTCCAACCGAAACGAGATAGCAAGCTTGTTCATCTCTAAGATATGAAGTCTTTATTTTTGTATCAAAAAGTGAACTAACCTTTTCGAAGACAGCGCAAATAGGGCTGACGAGCCCAATTTTTTGGAAAGTATGTCCATAATTTGATAAAATTGTAAAATTTGCCAGACGATTAAAATCGTAATAACCCCTCCTTACAATTGAATCGTTTTACCTGAATACATTCTTTACTGTGTTGCAATTATGAATTGTGTAATTTGAGATGATGAACGTGACTTTGAGAGAGAGAGAGAGAGAGAGAGAGAGAGAGAGAGGGGGGCAGAGACAGACAGACAGAGACACAGGGAGACAGAAAGAGGCACAGGGAGAGGGGAATATCAAGAATGAAAGCAAGAGAAAGTGAGCAAGGTGAGAGAGCTGGAGAAAGAGAGAGGGAGAAAGAGAGAGAGAGAGGGAGAGAGGGAGAGAGATAGAGAGCTAGAAAGTATATGATAATTTGCGTGTGTTACGTGTGCATGTGTGTGTGTGTGTGTGTGTGAGAGAGAGAGAGAGAGATAGAGAAAGATGGAGAGAAAGGTTGAGAGAGAGACAGGCAGACAGAGACACAGGCAGACAGAGAGGGACAGTGACAGGCAGACAGAGACACAGGGAGACAGAGAGAGGGGGAGGGAGAGGGGAATATCAAGAATGAAAGCAAGAGAAAGTGAGCAAGGTGAGAGCTGGAGAAAGGGGAGAGAGAAAGGACGAAATTGTAAAGAGTGAAAGAGAGACATAGAGAGGTCCCCGGAGAGGGGAAAGAAGAACAAAAATAACGACAGAAAAAGACAAAGATGGAGGAGCATTGATAAAATATGTGATAAGTGATGCTTGAGAGAGAAAGAGTTTTTGGAATGGGATTTAAAAGAAAGAGACAATTTTTACGAACCATATACATATCCATGTATATTAATGTTAATAATGGGCATACGTAGAGAACTGAATTGTAAAGGGTTGATTTCTTATTTAGAACCTACAGTATGACCGTCTTTACAGGTATTTAATTATTTTTGTTTTTAACTCATACTGTTGTAACTGTTGTGTCTTTATGATTTTGTGATATGATTTTAAAATCTAACGTCACCTTGTTGGCTTGTTGTGACAGAATGAGACAGTGGAGAGAAGGATGAAGAGATGGAACGGAGAAAGGAGAGAAAGAAAGCGAGGACAGGCTCAGAATGAGACTCTCTTAAAGCCCGTCTGTACTAGTTTGGCCATTAGGATTAGACCTACATGTACCTGCAAGGTCACTGACAGGTGGTTATCTCATCAAATCAGCTCTCATTTAACATAAGAAAAAGGGATCATGGGGGACCAACAGACACCGATTGGGCATTGTTTTCTATATAGAGGGAGCAAGTAGCTATAAGTAGGACAGTGTGGCTTTAATTCTTTTCAATGTTTCCGTCACTTTGTCTTCGTGATTCTCACTCAATTATACCTAACACAAGTTAACATGAGTTAGTGCTAATATAACGAAATGAGCTACAATTCGCTTGAAATTGCTATTCCGACTTTAAACCTGTTTGAGCGCAACGTGATTGATATTCCCATGAATCAAGTGAGTCATTATTGTGCTAATTGTAAAGAGCGAACTTGCACGCCCCTTCTAATATTTCTAGCTCTGTCGGGGAAAAGGGGTAGTGGTATTTAAAACCCTAGCCCAATTGTAAGATGAAATCGTCTAATAGTAATAAGTTAATCTGAGGTATTAGCTAATCACATATCTATTACATTATATACAGATATAGAATCTAGTGACATGCTTTAGTACACCTGTGTTTGGATTAGCATGTCTCTGCATGGCAGTCACGTGACGTATCCACTAGGCCACGACACCTCTATAAATACAGAGGATGCATATGACACAATGTTTTACGTATAGCCTCGGGCAGGGAAACGTGGGGGAACTCCCCCCCCCCCCACCTCCGTCCCCCTAAATGTACAGTATACTAGGTGACCCCGTGACACTTTTGATGCAATTAAAAAATACAAGATAAGTCAATACCGAATAGTGTAAATATTATTTTATTTGTTATTACGTCAGTTCAATATTTCAAACGATATCATATTCATTCGGTTTCTTCGCCATCTTGCAACCAGTAACTACGCCTTAACGCCCCCCCCCCACGCCCATTAACTTAACATCATTAACAATAACATAACATTAGTTATTTCACAAAACAGTCAGTAGAGGAAGAAATATATGGATAAATGCAAATATTGCACATACCGCTCACCACCATATGTATCATGCCATAGGTTAACATCATAAATAGTCAATCAAAATCAAGGAATATATCGGAAAATGCATCACGTATGCTTGTGTAGCTCGTATTGCATTCAGGAAAATAAAAAAAGGATTTTTTTTTTTAACATGGGGTACACATGGAGACTGATATTATAATAGATTGAAACCATCAACGAATGTTTGTAAATACTAGCAATCGTTTTAGGTGAGTTTCCCTGTATATAAAGCGCCGATAAATAAAATATGTTTACTGCGATACCTATTGCTAACTTTTGCAACTGATGAAAGATTACTAAATGCCTTCTCATCTATCCATAAATGAAGAATACCATGCTACATCAATCACATTCGATTATCTAGTTGTTAGTTTGTCTTTTTCTTGTTTTAAGGACTGATTTCAGTTAATTTTTGAGTCACTTAGAGTCGTCAGATATGCGCATATTTATTTATCGATGTACTCTAGTTTTGATTATTTTTAATTTATGTTGTTGCATTCATTGATTGACATATTTCTCGATACATGTCAACCCCCCCCCCCCCCCCCCCCCGCCGCCCCGCTCCCACGCACATACCTTTTCCGGTTGTTTCCTCATGCACATCATGAGTCACAATGCATACCATGCAAGTACAAAGCATCACAATCATATCTCATAATTGTTTTAGGTCGCTATTCATTTCGTTTCCTGGTGTGATATCCTGATAGGTATGTTATTACTTGCTAATCTTGCATATCCATACCCCTGCCACACCAACAAGAGTTGACACCGGCCCGACGACATGCCGATCAAAACCTGACATTACCCTCAACGGGCGAAGAATCATTCGGATTGGAGTCGGGTGGGCGGTGTGACTGAGGCACTATATGCACATAGTACCCACACAAATATGTTGACACTGTACCGTTTGGGGGTAAATAAATTAAAAATCCATACAATATTTGACAGAGTATGGTTTTGGATCGGTAAACTACAAACCTTGAATTATGTCATGATAGCTTTGCTGGAACGAAACACATAATAGCGCAACAAGAAATTGATAAACAAAGTCAAAGGGGTGTATGTATATTTAGGTAATCCTGCTAGATATCTTTGCATGCCCCTACATAATAATGATTTGAAGTATTCAATTATTTCTGTGCCATTTGATATTTTACAAATGTTTGAACTGCACCAATTTTAAGAAAACTTCGTACAATATCTACCTATACCCAAGGGCCTCGTCTTATAAAGAGTTACCTCAAAAGTCCTCAAATCAATCGCAAGTTTTCAGTCTCCTATCTCTTATGTACATAGTTGCGATAAATATCAATTCTTTATAAGACGGGGCCCTGTTGTAACAAATGTTCCAAAGGAGAGTTAAAAAATAGGTTATACTCAAAATTGATGCCTGAGATTTGTTCTCTATTTTACTGAAAAATATGCTAGAATGAAGTGTACAATCATTTGTGCCAAGTGTAACGAATAAAATGTACTTGCGATCCATTACGTCCGAAAGAAATGCCCCTGAATCACTCTGCGATACTGGGGTAGCACACGACTTTCGTGGAACGTTTAAAAAAAGACGTTCTACAAACGTTTATATACTCTTGGGACGTCTTTGAAGCGTCATAAAAAACGTTGTATTTGCTGATATCAGGACTAGGCTCTATTATCAAGTGTGTTCGCATACACAGGCTTTGGGGTACCCGATTGGAATCCATTCCTTTTCTGCCTAAATGGGAAACTGCGTTGATTCTGAAGCCAAGGCTTATCCTTGCTCGGCGCAGCAGGGTACACTCGTGGCTCCGCATACACGTACTCGACATCCGATTCGGAATCATTATTCAAGTCGTCTCCTCTCGGTGGCTTGCTCGGAGCAGCGTTGACCATGCCATCCACTGTTTCCATTGGGACCGCGTAGTCACCCGTGACGCTGACCATTGATGTCGCGCGGCTCGGTATCACGGTTCTTTCGTAGTCGTGGCCGAGTTCATTATCGTTCATGTTCGTCATGTCCGTGTCTTTCGTGTTCCCCTCACGTCTTCGGATTCGACAACTGAATATAAAAGATGAAACACGAAGTATAAAAAGAGGAGAAATACCAGGAAAAACATTTTTTTAAAGAGCAACAAATTTCAAATCTCCTGCTACACAAGATTTAATTTTATGACCTCTCTATCTTTCACATAATCGAATACCTCAGTCACTCCTCATTACCGACTACACATCGACTCCACATTGACCGACTCTTGAGCATTGGGGATATGCAATTTTGGTTCAGACTGTCGTTGGTCTTATGTCAGTTATGTTGATGTGACTGATGTATGAAGAAGAAATGAGTTAACGGATTTCGTTAACATAGTTGGATTCTTTAATGCTCACTGAAAAGATCATTCTTTAGTAAAAGGACATGATTGAATTGATAAAACCGCGAATGTAGTTCATACAGAGCTAGAATCGAAATTTGTAGGCACTATCAATACCGAATGCGAAAAAAATGAATTTGTTATAGATATGAAACCGAGAGGAAACAATTTTCGATAAATCAATTTATTCCAGAAAACAGTCGCGTGATATGTCCAGGGTTACTTGCACTATATTTTAATACTAGGGTATAACTAGACAATCAGCAAACGGAACTTGATCTTCTTACCATAGATAGATACATGTTAAGAGCAGAATTAGGTTGAGTCCTAAAGATAGTCCAATGAGGATTATGTGTTCGAGGGCCAAGCCCCAGAATATCACTTCCATCTCAAACTAATCAGTTGCCCCCGTGGTCTCCGAACATGTCATTGGATCACAGTGCATCAATGTTCCTTTGCTTGCAACAGTCATAAAGAAGGGACATCACTCACGAAGCAAAATGCAGGCAAATTGAATAAAAAACAGCGATTAGTAGAGAACATTCCAGTAATATGGCCTCCAAAAGGTGTTCCTCTCTATTTTAATAATACGATTTGCTGTACATGGTCACGCGAAA